AAATAATGAAAATGCTGACACAATGTGGAAAATGTAACCAATGTCACCAGACAATATGTATAGAAATTGTTAAACAGAAACCTAATACGCTGTGTAAAATTTCACCAAAAATACCATAGAATATTTAAAGGAAAAAAACTAAGCTGACCTGAAGAAATTGTGTGAACTCTGTGTAGTTAAGATGCTTCTTCCGGTTATGCCCAAAATGCAGTCGGATAAACTCACAGTCCCAGTTAAAAGGGATATGATGATGAATAGTAGTCTGTCCAAAAATTTCTTTGACATTTTCTTAAAAGGGAAAACAAAAATAAATCCATTATATCCAGAATAAGTAGTTTAATCCACTGCAATGTTCCTACAGAAAGAAATTAGGAGAAGTTTTAAAAGTCAATATCATCTGCCTCTATTAAGATTAACTGCAATTTTTTATGTGTGCCTAGAAACACATGCACAGGAACACGATACAAAAATATGATTTTACACTTAAGATTGTGTACCATTACATATAAGGCCATGAGATTCTTAATTTCTCTTGATTTAATTTTAATTAGGAAGTGATTTATATCTTGCACTATAAATGGCTGCTACTTTGCATTCCACTATAAAATCAATAGTGTTTTCCCTGTTCCTCAAGGAGTCGAATTAAGCCCTTTATCAGAAGCATGAATACCTAAATTACAGTATAATGCAATATTTGTCATACTAAGTATGGTTTGATTGAGGCTTGATTATTACATTCATACTAGCCTGAATATTCTATTGAAGATAGGTATAAGAAATACTCCAAAAGCATATCATTAGCTCAGCAGCAAGCACCGTATTAAAAGCTTCTGATACTGTCAAAAAATATGGTCTTGACACAAAGCTTCAAAATTCCCATAAAAACCATGATTATCAGTCTCAATTATTAAAATATTCTAAGATAGTCATTCACTTTTAAATAAAGAAGGACTAAACACGGTACACTAACTTTTAGAAAGGGATCAGTCACACTGAATAATATACAACCAAAACCCTGAGGTCTGCTCTGACAGCTTGTCTTCATGCACTAACATAACAATGTCATTCACTTTCTTACACACTTCAACACTTACTATAAAAGTCAATTCACAAATGACTGGTACTTTAACAAGCATAGACTAATTTAGAAGCTCATGCCAAAAAAAAAAAGAAAGGAAGAGATCATTAACAAAATTAAGAAAGCAGGAAGCCTCTTTTACTGATGCCTTAAGGACAATTATTTTCAAATTTAAGCTAATTTTATTAGTAAAAGAGTTTATCATCAATAGCTATTAATTATACTAGAGAATTAGTAAATACAAGTTTAATGTTTTATAATCTCCTCCAACTATGTATGCTATTTTCTCTAATATCTGCAAATTCTTTGAATATGATACTAATCTCATACTGTAAATGGTTTTGTGGATTCCCTTTAGTTTTATATACCTTTTTTCTTGACAAAAGCATCACTGTTGGGGTAGGGTAAAAATCTCGAACTGGAAATCCTACTAGTTTGGACTTAATATTACAGCTCTGAATAGGTCATAGCAATCAGGGAAGTTGGAAGAAGGCATTGGATGTCACTGGGGAGATGGGATTCTCTTCTTTTCTTTCAAATGGAATGCAGTATTCATTTCTTGCCTAAATAGCTATAGTATTTGAGTGTTTTTAAATCATGTCAAATTATTTTCACCTTCCATAAACACAAAGTAAATATATGGGTTTTTGTTTCTAAAAGCAAAGAATGAACTTGATAGCAATTCATGAACTTTTAACCAGCACAAAAGTTTATCCTTAAATTTTTGTGAAATTTCAACAAATTATAAAATATGTTAAAGTTTATAGTAAGGGTTGTAAAAAATATTTATGGCTGAAATTATTATGACAGATCAGGAAAGTTTTTTTAGGACCCTTCTAATTAATTAGTTATTTCTATTCCCAAATTAACTTGATTTATTATTTTTAAAGTGTAACAAAAAAAGCGTTGGGCTAAAGAAATTAATGGAAAGCAGAATAAGGTAACAAATTACTGCATTAATTTAAATAATATTAGAATTATCAAATGTAATAAGTTATTTCACGGTAACCTTTACTTTAAAGGTCACAACTCCCAAGACTCAGTTATTTGATAAGAAATGTACATATTGTGGACTACATAAGTTTTATATAATGGTAGAATAAAAAACTGAATCCCTTTAATATCAGAAAATATCAGAATCTCAAGTGTGAAACTATATCAAATAATGTCAAAGATTCAAAAGCTTTCAAAATCAGAAAATTTGATTATAAAAAATTTCTACTATCACAAAAAGGATACTTATAAACCAAAATTATAATATCTCTATAAAAAAACCTTAATTAGAAATGCCATTTTGTAAACTTCCTAGAGATCTCTCAATAAAATCTTGGAATGTTTCTGAACCAATTAAAAGTGATGGCCTAAGTTACTCAGAATAATCTCCCCAAATACAGAAGTGTTTTGTTTTCCATGGGTATTTGTTTGGACATTTCCTACTTCTCCCAAAGTGGTTACTTGATAGCTTTGCATATAGCTTTATTATAACCATTATTATATGCTGTGGTTTATTAACTATCCCCATTTTTAATTATTTTAGCCTAGTCACAGGCTACAACTATAGTTACTAGGACTAACAATTTCAAACATACTTTGGCACCACTTCCCTTCTGTTATTATTTCTACTACCAACTGCCTGAAGCTGATTCAGGAACCTTACAGAAATAATTAATCCAACTATTGTTTTGAAGCCCAATTCATAATCACCATTTAGCCTTTACTAGGATGTGCTTATCGGAAAAAAAAAAAAAAAAATTATACAAAAGCTCCAGAACTGGAGATGACTCTTGAGTCCTTTTCTACTCCTTTCTTCTCTTGACAAGCTTATACTTTTGTGAGGCAGTAACTCCAACATCTGATGTTCTTCTTATCTTACCCAGTTTTATTTGGTCCTGTGTTACATGAAAGAGAATATCAATAATCTCAAATATACCCAATACATCTAACCGAAATTGCATGGCAAGTTTTCCCACCCCCCAGAGAGAATCCCGTCTTTCCAGTGGCAAACAAGGGTCTACAGCTCTAAATAGCACTTCTAAGAATGCTATTCATTGGCCATAGTTCTGGTCTGGATAAAAGGGATATGACAGTCACATTTTACTGGCAGCAAGATCATGATCTAGTGTTTTATGCTAGGTTGCCATTGCTAAGAGAAACAGGAATCCATTCATTTTGTGACATATAGAAAACAACAAACCACTTTTTCACTTCCTGCAGAGCATGGGCTTATGAAAGAGATGGTTTATAATTCCTTTGAAAAGGGAGCTGGGGCCAGATACAAAAGTAGCCTGTCATTATGTTCTCTTTGCTCAAAGGAGAGGAGCACAATGATTTGTCAAGAGGAGGGCAGGTAATGGTGACAACTGTGATTAAGTAAAAACGTTCACAGATGTATAACATTAGTCAGTTTAGCTGTTATCAGTCACTTATGATGATTGGTCTAGATGAAATACACATTGAAGAATATATATTATGTAAATATGTCTTAACAGAGGTTTTAATTTCCCGAGCAGCCCACACTGTGTCTCCCCATCTCATCCACCCTCATCCCTCCCCTGGTCCCTATGGGCGCTTCCTACTGGTCTTGTTCACCTTTCTGCAGTACAAAATTACCTCTGACCGGGGCTGGCACTCTTCTCCAAGACTGCCGCCATGCCTGTTCCATGAATGAGCCTGGAAGGAGCTGCTGTACCAACGGTGTGGCCAGAGAACTCCTCCTGTAGGTATACAAGCCATCAGCCCTGTGACACAGCCCACCTACCATCAGCCCAATGACATCCTGGTTCCAAGGATTCCAGCCCAGCAGGAGCCACTGCTTCCAACTTACAGCCTTGAGACCAAACATTTTTATTGTCAGGAGGGAAAAATACCTCAATAGCTGAGTTTCTGCACCATTCTTAACGTGAAGTCAGAGAGGCTTTTAGAAGGACTCCCACCATAGGTAAGAACAATGAATATCCTTGTGTATAACTGAACGAAAACAGTGGTGAGACTTGCGGAAGTGAATAGTTTTTTCAGTCAAGGGAAGATTTGGGGAAAAGAGGAGGTACAACTAGGAGATCAAAAAAGAAAACAAAGGGAAACAAACAACAATAACAAAAAGACCAACAACAGGAACTTGCAGAGGAAGTCTCAACCAGTATAGCATGTAGACTCAGTTCCAGACTTCCAGGTTCTACTTCCAGTTGGGTCATTAGTTTCCTTGGTGACCTCCTCTGTTTCTCTGGGGGAGAGTATTTCTATTAGCCTTATACCTTCCTTCAGAAGGGACTACTGTACAATTCACCAATACAGTAGTCCTGCTGCCAAATATACATAAAGGTCCATTTCTCAGGAAAGATGAGTTTACATTTAAAGAGCCTCTATTACTAAATAAACTAGATGCTTCAACAGTCTGTCACCAAATAGTACAAAAACTAATAATACCATGTCCTTTTTCTGCCTCAAACTCTAAGCTATTCTAATACCCTTGAGTATGAATACGGCCTGATCTGTGATGTCCGAAAGCAATACAAAGAAAAGAGTCCCAACAATTCTTGCTGATTTAACTTGAACACCTAGGTGAAGCTCTCCTTCTTACCAGATTATGTCAGGTATTTATTACCATTTGATTTCATATTATTCCATGTCTACAGCTTTGTTTCCATTGAGAAAGGGTAGAGCATTTTTCATATCTATACTTCTATCTCCTGAACCTTTAAATAATAGTGGGTATGCCTAAACCACTCCAATCTATTTTTCCCTTTAGGGAAAAAGAGTATATTTTAGAGGCACAAATGAAATAAATTTGTATTTATTGTACATATTGATGACCAACCACAACCTAAATCGAAAGGAATCCTTGCTTTTTGAGGATTCTACAGTTAGTGGTAACGATGAGCCCTTGGAAAAGTTTACCTTGGAGAGTTCCCATTCCTAGGCAAGCACTTTGGAACACAATGTTGATAAGTTTTTAATAGGGAACTTAGAACATACTACATGTTTTATATTCATTCATTAGTTAATAGATAAGAGCAATTTTTTAAGAATGCTTACACTTTTGTTAAAGTAACAGTTTTTTTTTTTTTTTTTAATTTGGGACAAATGCATGGCAGCTACCGACAACACTATGTAGCATAACTGATTATCCTGGTTACCTCAAGCTAACTTTATCAAGCAGAATATCCAGTACACTAGTGGATAATAAGACCAAGGTAAATTTATACTGCATCTAGCACACACCAGTCATGCAATGGCCTCTACAAGGCTCATGCCACCAGTCAGAAACACATATACAAGCCATTAAGTAATTATCCACAGCATGCGTTAGAAGTTTTATTAAAGGAATATCAAAGAGAAAACAATTAACTTATGGTTTTATTCACTCTTTAAAAACTCCAGAATCCTCTCCTAAGCTTGCACATTCTGAAATGGACTACCAAAACCTCAATGTAAATCCTGTCTCCCAGAGCGAGAATACCTCTAACAATAAAAAAACCTTGTTCAGTACTCAAGTTAATGTTGCTTTTTATATAAGTATTTGCAAAGATGCACACAATTTAAGTATATAACTTGATGTTGATAAAAAGCATATCTAAAAAAATAAAAGCATCGATGAGAACAATATGTACAAGCACAGATAACAGTATCATCATAATCCATAAGAGATACTATACTGATGGCCTAATAGCTTTCCCTACTGCATTGCACCTTACATCCAATATTCTCTCCCACTCTTCTCTTCTCATGTGTACAAGAGAAAATTATACTTTAAATAAGCTCCAAACCAGAAAACATAAGGCCATTTGGTGAAAAGCATTTAGTTAGAATGGATTTAAATTTTCCTTTTACCTAAACAAGTGTCTACAAATATATAAGCACAATTCATTTTATTAAGTGGGTACAAACATGAAAACTGACCTTCACCACAGATCCAAAATCCTATTAAAATAAACTCCAAGTTAATTATTTCCTTATGCAGAAATTCTGTAGTCTTGAATACAGCCTGAAATAAGTGGGCCTTAGAAATCTTGTTAAATGACATTTGTTATAACAATTTCAATGCTTTTCCTCTTTTCTTAAGGATATAAAATTAAACATTCTCTCCTTCGATATGATTCACTTCACTTTAGTTAAGAAAATTTGTCTCAAAATGGATTCTCAAAACCAGGGAGGCAGGATGGGGAGGGAAAATAGGCAACGTCTACAGGAAAAAGCTGAGCACCATCATCAAGAGGACCATTCAGCTGCTAGAGAACCCATAAACAATGTTGAAATTGGGTGCGGCTCTCTGTATTCTGTAAGAATCTTCCTGTCTCTAGATTATGGAGCAGGGGAATGAAAGCAGGATTCTGGAGGGTTCGTATGTTCTCCAGTTCATACTAAGTGCTATTAAAACTAAGAGCAATTTGTTTTGTTTTTAATCCTTATTGTATTTTCTTGAATTCCTAACTCCTAGGTCATAGTCTGAGGGGAAAACAAAAGATCTGTAAGATGCTAAGGCTGGAATCTAATAACTGTAACCTTCATTTGCATGAAATAAAGAAGGTGTGCATAAACCACTCAGCTGCTTCCTACCCTCATATTAATCTGCTAATAAAGAGTGGCATGAGTCTCTATTAGCATGTTGGATATACTCACTTGAGTGACTTAGTTTTTAAAATTAAAGCTGGGAAAGGCAATAAAATCGAGGCGACACAAAGGACCATGAAACCAAGGTAGAAGGGACAAAACAGAATTTGGTTTTGGGAAGTCTAATTCTTAAACAATACACATGTGATCTAAGTACAGGTATAGCAGCACTAACTGAGACATTTGTATTGTTATTCCCCAAGTATTTCTGCACCACATTTGGAAGGAAGACCTGTGAGCATGTGTGATACCTATTGAAGACAGCATTATTAGTAGTACAGGTTTAATGCTGTATGATGAGATGACAAAGGTTTTGTGTTTTAAACTACAGAATCCAGGTGTTTCTGAGGAAAGTCAACATTCTTTAGGAGACAGAAGAGCCAGAGCTTCAGCAGAGAAAATACCAAGATATCCTCAGAAACCCACAGAGCTCTGCATAAGTATTTGGAAAGTCTTCTCACACAGAAGACAATTAGATCAATGAGCAGAAGGAAGGAAATAATCAATGTCAAACTAGAAAATGTGCCCACTAGATCACAGCAAAGGCACCACCGGTCCTTCTGAGTACCTGTACTCTCTCTCATCATCCTTACCACAGCAGTGATACTTCTTCCTTTAGTTTTAACTAAAGGACATTTGGTTTATAACTCAAACAGCACAGTGAATAAATATTTAGCAGCTGTGGCTCAAGAAAAGCCTAATTTTCAATGGTTTCTCTATGAATATTGGTGTCAGTTCACACTAAACAAGGGACTCAAGGTCATAGAAAATACTACATTGTTTTTATTGAAAAAGCCTGTTGTAAGAAAATTAACTGATGATCTTAACACAAGCTAATCTGTGCAAGTAAGCATCTCTAAAAACGAACACATGGCTACAAATAGTAATCCTGCTTTGCATGCTTGTGAGACATCAACAACGTGTTACTCAGATGACAATTTTAATGTTCCAGCCTTATTTCCTAAAACCAAAAATCTAAAATGGCGGTTCAGAGAACGCCAACTAATCCTGCCTGAACTCTCTCCTTCAGCTTCATTCTTGGTGTTCAAAGTGATATAGTAGCAATTTTCCAAAGATGCTGCAGAGAAACTCTGAACTCCCTACCCAGGAATCCCTTAAAGAATGAGATTACTCCTTGTTCACAGTCTGCTTCATAAAGAATTTTGCCCAGGCTGGCTCAGAACAAGAAAATTTTACACCGCCTATTTTAGGAATGTGAAAGTGACTCAATGGGCTGAAGCAACTGCATTCCTAGACTCCTTGATCTTTTCCAATAGCCTAATGCTTTGAAGTCAATAAAAGGATTTTTGTTTTATCTGTTTAAATCCTGTTAGGAAATTAATACATCACTTATTGACTAAGGTTCTAAATAAGCAGCAATCTGTACTCAGTTACTAGATTTAGCAGTTAAAGACGGGACCAGCCTCACTGACTGTATTTATCACTTATAATCTTTTTTATTCCTTACCAAATGTCACCTCTCCATTTCCACTCTTGTCAAACAATTGGAAAGCCACTATGAACATGGAATCTGGAGCACACAAAACAGATTCAAATGCCAGAAACTCTTGATAGGAGATCAACCTGGAATAAAATAGAAACAGTAATTGACTGGTAAATAAAGGGAAAAAGTCAGGCATTTAACCTGCCTCTACTGCATGAACTGTAGCTCAGAGTAACCAAATAACTGATGAAGGGAAGTTTCTCTTTATAGAGGTATTCCAACTACTAAGGAAATAAAGAAGGAATGACAGAATTTAGAATATTACCCTTTTTCAAACCCTAACAAATTAATGGACTTGGGTAATAATCAATATTCTCTAGCATCATAAAAGAGAGATAATCAGACCAAAAATAATTAAACCTGAATCAGATCAAATCTCTGGATCAGGGTTTCTCAACCTCGGCATTATTAACATTTTGGGTCAGATAATTCTTTGTTATGGGGGCCTTCTGTGCTTTAAGTTTAGTAGGATCCCTGGTCTCTACCTTCTAGATGCCAATAGTACCCTCTCCCCCAGTTGTGAAATCCAAAAATGTCTCCAGACATTGTCAAATGTCCCCCAAGGGACAAAATCACCCTCAAGGGACTCTGACAATGAGAACCATTAAGAAGCACTGCTCTAGATCTAATTACCAATTTACAAAAAATCACGGTACAAACATGTTAAACACACCAAAGAGCTCAACCAGCAAAAATGCAGACTGGGGGAAACGGCAGGACAAATATCTAGCAGCTGTTTGCAAGGAAAAAAATTTTTTAAAGACATGGAAAGGGAACGTCGATTTAAACAGACGTAGGAGACGTAGCAATTAATTGCAATAAAGAGAGCTTATTTAGATTCTGATTCAAACAAACTGTTTAATTTTTTAAAGATTTTAAGACAATCAGGGAAAGGGAAATATTCATATAACACAAATAATTAAGAAATCACTGTTAATGTTTTTTAGAAGGTTTTTTTTTTTTTTTAGTAGGAGAAAGCTCTTACCTTTCAGAGGCACATACTGAGATATTTACAGATGAAATATGTCATCTGGGATTTGCTTCAAAACAATCAGAGGATTAGTGGAGTTATAAATGAAACAAGGTTGTTAATATTTTGGTAATTATTAGGAGTGATGAGTACAGTGAATTCACTATACTATTCTTTCTATACTTTTGTTTGAAATTTCAATAATAATTTAAAAATGTTTAAAGGAGAATTAAAACTGAAAAACCGGGGGTGGCGGGGGCATAGCACATTACAGGTAGTCCCCGACTTATGACATATTTGAGTTATGATGAATCACACTTATGACTGTCTACTTTGTTTTTTGTGGGGTTTTTTGGTACATCTTATCATTAGTGGAAACCCTGGTGGCATAGTGGTTAAGAGTTACAGCTGCTAACCAAAAGGTCAGCAGTTTGAATCCACCAGCCACTCCTTGGAAACCGTATGGGGCAGTTCTGCTCTGTCCTGTAAGGTTGCTATGAGTTGGAATCAACTCAACAACAATGGGTTTGGTTTTTATCATTAGTAATGTACTACATACAATGTTGCAGCATGTAATTTGCTGATGTTATCATTCTCAGATATTCATGCGCAGATGTTAAAAGATAGGCTTTATAAAGGTACTGATAATAAAAGGCAATAATAATGAAAAACAAAACAAAAAAGAGGCATTCAACTTATGTCAGAGCTGACTAACAATGGAGGAATCAGAATAGAACCCCGTCGTAAGTCAAGGACTACTTGTATTGGGTTTCTAGAACTTAATGGGTCCTGTAACACTCAAGATTAAGAAATTAATCAGTGGACAGAACTACATTAAAATTGCCTTCAGTGATCTTATGGAGCTAGAATATGGTAGCATAAAGTCATCTTCCACAGGAAGCTTGCTGTAAAGATTCTATACCATGCTGTTGCTGTTGGCAAGTGACTGGTGTCCAAGCAAAGGCATTATGAAAA